CCTTTTCATGTATTCATTGCGGATTTACCGAGTAAATTTCTTTTGCTGTTTCTGACATCTTAAAATGATAATGACATAACGTCTTTATCATAAACTGTTTAGAAGAAGATTGATACTCTGTATAACTTTGCTCTTCTTGTAGTACTCATATAATTTAGCAGTTCATTGTTATTATGTTTTTTCCGGAAATGTTTTAGTGAAGGATTTTTGTAGCCTATGCCATGTTTTAAAGAAAAAGAAGTGCTTTGGCCCAACAATGGCGTCTGATACTCTGATTCATTATGAAAAAGCTCATGCCTTTACTTTCAATGATTCCATATGTGCTTTTGAATCATTTATTTGTGTATGAACGAACGTACCTAACCCTTATAGGCTTTAAACATAGTTATAAATAAATTACTTCAAGTAGTAGTAAAACTGGGATCATATGCAAAAATAGGAATACATTTGTTTTATACTTAAGCTTGAGTCAATCAGCTCTTAAAGAAGAACAAAAGTAGTTACAAATTCTTCCTTTAGGAGTGGATGAGTCATACTTTGAGAAAAAAATGATTGACCCATTTGAAGAAATGAATTGGGGTTTAGTCCAATAACTAATTTACAGATTATTTATATTTAAGAAATGATTTTTGTAGAATAGATATTTTGTAATTGTATCTTTTATTTATCCAAGTCTTTGGCACTTTAAGTACAGATCAAGACTCCTTCAGGCGGCCGATTTACTCAAATTCTATGTGTTGGAATTGGTGGTTCTGCACTTGGGCCCCAGTTTGTGTCTGAGGCTTTGGCTCGAAATAACCCTCCTCTAAAGGTAATTGGATATTCATAGTGGTAATGTATTTTTACATTTTAGTATGTTACACGTTTGTTGCTGCTTCTCAGTTGTGCTTTAATCATGTGGATGGGCAGATTAGGTTCATTGACAACACTGATCCGGCTGGCATTGATCATCAAATAGCACAACTTGAGCCAGAGCTGGCATCAACACTTGTTATTGTGACCTCTAAGGTTTCCATGGATATAATAATCTTTAATTCACTTTTTTCTGTTTGCTATGAGTAACTAGAAGTAAAAGACGTTTTTATTTTGTATTTAGTTAATTTTTTATTCTTAATTTATGCAGAGTGGAGGCACCCCTGAAACCCGAAATGGTCTACTGGAAGTACAGAAGGCCTTTCATCAAGCAGGGCTTGAATTTGCAAAACAGGTTTTGATCTCAGGTTCTTATTTTTATTAGCTTCTCTTTATTCCTCAGTCAGCTGCTATTTAAGCTTGTAAATTTTGTTAAGCTTAATTTGTACTCCCTCCATTTTCTTTACTGTTGCAGAGAAATAATTTTGTTTTCTGGTAAATGCTGCTCTAGGATATCAAGATACCATGAATCGATTATTTTCCACTATTATCCTTCTTCATTTATAAGGCACAAATGCTATGTACCACTTAAAAACATTCATAGGGTTTTCTTGTCATATAAGTTACGTTTACCTTGATTTTAGAAAATCTATTTCTACATCTGTTACGTAATCCCATTCACAATTGATGCGATCAGCCTAACTCTCCAGCTCTCCTTTAATCTCTAATTTTATGTATCATTTTTTCATATTCAATATCGGTTTTATCGGTTCAATAGAACTTTTTGGGTAGTTTCCGAATATGTGAATTTTAATAACCAATACTATTTTTTTGTGGTGAGAATAAACTTTATTCTCAGCCTGGTCTTGTAATCTGAAACTGAAACACTATTATGAAATGGAGATAGTACTTCTTAGCATGTACGCAAATACCTAAAACAGCACTTGAAAAGAGAACCGAAGGTGTAATCTCTTTTCTTAAGAACTTATATATGTTCTTTATGTGGTCACTTGACGGTTTCCGTGTCTCAGATCACCCCCTCCAATATAAATAAAAAATATTGTGTATTTATTGCAACCTATTACAATAGCAACCTCATTGAAATGAATACCAATTTGTGGCTTACTGGCAGGGAGTTGCCATTACGCAAGACAATTCATTGCTTGACAAGACTGCTATAAGCGAAGGATGGATTGCCAGATTTCCTATGTTTGATTGGGTTGGTGGTAGAACTTCTGAAATGTCTGCTGTTGGTTTGCTTCCTGCAGCTCTTCAGGTTTGTGATAATATCTACTGTCTATACCGCCAAGGTTCTCCCAACTTCCTCAGCCCACTTACGCTCACATGTTTCTTTCCTTAAATGTTGTTGTTGTTATTATAATAATAATAATTATTAATATTATTATTATTATTCTTGCTATTATTGTTCCAGGAAATTGATATAAGAGAGATGCTTGCTGGTGCTGCATTAATGGATGAAGCAAATAGGAATACTGTTGTATGATTTATGACTTTTTTAAAATGATTTGTTTTCTTAAGTTCAAAATTTAACGCTCTTACTCATATTCCTAGAAGTACCTGTAGTTAAGAATTGTGCACACTTCAGGTCCGTGATAACCCTGCAGCGCTTCTTGCCCTATGTTGGTACTGGGCGACTAATGGAATAGGAAATAAGGTATGTACTACTGTAGTTTTGGCTATGGTAAATTCCATTTGTATCCTTTATCTGCAGGGTCATTTTCACTTCTAGTCATTGATTTCAGAAATCATTCTAGGTTTAGCCCAAAAATAAAAAAATAAAAAATCATGATTTATTTAGTCATTTAACACAATATGCTTCATGGGTGTGGGTCTATGCAGGATATGGTTATTCTTCCATACAAGGATAGCATGTTATTGTTCAGTAGATATTTACAACAGCTGGTCATGGAGTCACTTGGAAAAGAATTCGATCTGGATGGTAATAGGGTATGTCCTTCAATCTTAATGTTCTGTCAGGAAGAAGCTAATTGTACTATAAAAACCGTTTCAACTGGGAACAAAAAAAATGCTTGTCTTTTTTCTGTTCACTTATAGGTGAATCAAGGGATCACAGTATATGGAAACAAAGGGAGCACAGATCAGCATGCGTATGTTTAGATTTGAAATGTGTCATTCAATTATATGTGGTGATTCATCTCAGATCATTGAATGTTTTGTAATTTTTTCAGTTACATCCAGCAGCTGAGAGAGGGGGTGCACAATTTCTTTGTCACTTTTATTGAAGTACTACGTGACCGGCCTGCCGGTCATGATTGGGAGCTTGAACCTGGTGTCACCTGTGGTGACTACCTTTTTGGAATGTTACAGGTTCTCTTAGTCTAGTTAGTTATTAGTATTTGGTGGATATGATTATTTGGAGTGTTTTCAACTTTTGGTCGTCCAACTAATGTGTCAATGACTGTTGGTACCGACCGGCTTTGAATATTTTCCACTTTTAGTCTTGTGACTATTTACCGTTACATATCTTATTTTCTTAAAGTATCGTTGGCACTATAGTCTGAAGAGTACAGGTGGAAATATTCAAAGGCGGATACCAAGTGTCTCGGTCAAATTAGTTAGAGGACCAAAAGTGAAAAAATCAAATAAAGGTGCCAAATTGTCATTTGACATTTGTTGAACGACCAAAATTGTCTACTTATCATGTTAATTGCACACAGGGAACAAGGTCAGCCCTTTATGCCAATAATAGAGAGTCTATTACTATAACAGTACAAGAGGTGACACCTAGATCGGTTGGTGCCCTAATAGCTCTCTACGAGCGAGCTGTCGGTATTTATGCTTCACTGGTCAACATTAATGCTTATCATCAGCCTGGTAAATATATGCATTCTGCTGACTCTTGTGTGATGACATTTAGGGACTGATTGGTTTGGCCGTTTGGGTAGATAACAATTTCAAATTTTAAAAACCGAATGCAATAACAGGTGTAGAAGCTGGGAAGAAAGCTGCGGGAGAAGTTCTAGCACTTCAAAAGCGTGTTCTTGCAGTACTTAATGAAGCCAGGTATGCGCGCCTGGCATTTGGCGTTTGAGAACCCGTTTGGGACATACTAGAATGGCCAATGTAGTTTCTGTAGCAAAATATGCCTACTTTTATATAATAAGATTTACGTAGTACGGAGTACTTTAAAGTGAAAATGCAGGCTGATAAGTTGAAAATGAAACCTGCCAATCGAGCTCTCTATCTTTTTTTTTTCCTTCCTTTATAGCCGACACTGGACTTGAGTTTTATTGTTATGTTTTCTCCACAGCTGCAAAGAGCCTATTGAACCACTAACACTTGAAGAATTAGCTGATCGATGTCGCGCCCATGAAGATGTATGTGCCATTTCTCCTTGCCATCTTTTTATGTTAATGCCCAGCAAAAGGATCTAATTACTGGTCATCAACTTCTTACTTGTGGGTTTTCAGATTGAAATGATCTATAAGATTATACAACACATGGCAGCAAATGACAGAGCTTTGATTGCCGAAGGCAGCTGCGGTTCACCTCGTAGCATTAAAGTGTTTCTGGGCGAATGTAACGTTGATGACTTGTATGCCTAGTTATATTTACAACATAAAAATATTTAACCTTGTATGCAAGCTACTAAGGTTTTGCCGAAGAAATAAACACTATTCATTCCAAAATAAACACTATCTTGTTTCAAGATTTTCAAATTTCAACCATATATTTTTCTTTTGAACCACTTTCTTAAGAAGCTCGCCAAACATAATCAAGAATTATATTTCGGGACTGTGGCAGCATAACATAAATGTTCTTAGATAGGAGTCTAGGACTAAACTAGACCCCATATACCTAACGACCTCTTCATTCTTTTATTCCCAGACAGGATTATTAACTTGCATTTTTACTACAATATGTTAATTAAAAGCTTCATAAAGATTACATTTTTAGTCCAATTCTGCATTTCTGCATATTACCTTTCTTGTTCCTGAACGCAGTCCAGGGCCCCATGTACTATAAATAGGTATAATTGTGACTATTTTTTGAATAGTAACACTTATGAATGTTAATTAGTTACAACGTAATAATTTCAAGAGCTTACTTCTTATGTTTAAGTTTCACACGACATGTCAATGTTTTTATTATGTTTCTTTTCTCATTCCTTCAATGCTTTTGAAACGGAGGATTAAACTTTTTTTCTTCATATGGCTATAGTGGAGTTTTGAAATTATTTGAATTTATAAATAGTTTAAAGCGGACTGACAAATAACGCATAACTTACAATTACAAACACAATGCCATTTAGCTGGTCTAATTACTTAGGATAGACCAGAAGCACTTTTGAATTCATACAATTTAGTTGCATATTTCACGAGCAATCCCCAGGCGAGAGTTGACGGTGTCAAAGAAAACCCTAAGGTTCTGCTGCTGTAGATTGGCGATCACGTTCAGCACAGAGTTCACATTATCCGGAGCTGCTGCCATAGCTAAGCAAGCCAAGTTCCCATAGCTACTGTGAATCAATGTATTCTCCATTGGTAACTTCAAATCCATTCCTTCAAAGTGAAAGGTAATGGTCGGTGACGTTGACTCTTGTGTCACCGCAAAACATGTATCGAATGCGCCCAAGGCGCTGAACGGCCCCGCCACTTGCTTCTTGTATGCCTCTCGAATCGCTGCATAAGCCGGTTCAACGAACCGGCTTATGACGGTACCGGAGTCGATGACGGTGCCCGACCCGGTGTTCGGGTTGAAGCTAAGGTGCTCTGCGGCAATGGGTACACGGAGTCTGCCCACACTTACCCCCGTCAGGTTCACGTAATACAATGAAGGCCGGTGCGGGTTCCTGAGCAGCGGAGTTGTTTTTATTGTCTTCGGTTGACCAACTGGTCCGAGCCGGAGCGAACCAGAGAAGTAGTAGGATTTGAAACTGGGTAAACAGTAAGAGAATACACCTGAATAAAGCGCCCCCGCTTGGGAAAGAAGAGACATTGAGCCCCGACCCAAGCCCAACAACCCTTGGGTCGGGATATTTGGGCCCGAAACGGCGTTGATGCATCCCAAAGCATAGTTCGGGATGACATCCTGCGCCAATCCAAGGGCATCCCGATACAACGTGGCGGAGAACGATGAATCTCCGCCATATGATTGGTTAAAATTACAAACTCCAGAACCGTCCGCCGGGCACGAAAGCCCGCGGACCATAGTGCATTCGAGCACAGAGCACCCGACAGGCCCGAAAGTTGCAGATGCATTGGGCGCAAAGACAGTGGAAGAGGAGCAACCGACGCAACCGCTGCACGGGACCCAAGCATTATCACTGCTGGTATCCAAGACCATAAACATGGTCTGGCCCGGAGTCCCAATCTTGGCCCGAACTACATAGTTGCCGACGTTGAGGACATTCTGGGCTGAAGCAACGGGGACGTTGGCACCGGGCTTTTGGGCCGTGAGGCTCGACAAGTAGGAGAGCCTCTGAGGATCCTTGACTGCCATGTTCATGACAGTGTTGACCCATGAAGAAGAAGAGTCTGGATTGTGGATAGGCGAGCATTTGCCATAGATGGGAATAACAGAGAGGTCAGAGGTGAGTTTGCTGGAATCGCAAAATTGAGAAGCTAAGGAATTGTAGTTTGAAAGAAGAAAGAGGAGAAATGACAGAATGAGTAATGCCGGCTGCATGGTGCGGCGTCAATGGGGAGGAAGAAACTAAGCTAAGTAGTTCAGTTTCAAGCAGCTGGGGTTGACTTACCCAAAAACAATGCAAAGTTAGATTTAGAAAGTGTTAAGATTATTATGGTATATATATAGGATGGAATTGTATCATGGCTTCCTAATAATATCACAATTGAACCTTTTTCATCACATTATGACAATATAACACACTGGATTTTAAGTGAAATGCTCAAACTAACAATAATATGCAAACATCAAACGTAATTTTGATGTGGAACTCTTCTTTAAAAAAGTAACTTATGCAAGTGTAATTTTGGTGTTTGGATCTGATTCTTAAAACTGCTTCTACTTCTTTAGGGAGCAGAAACAAAGTTGGAGTATTTGGGTGAAAGTGTAGAATTACTTCTGGTGCTCTAATTTACTCATAGAAGTAGTTTTTTTTAGAAACCGGGGGCCCAACTTCCCAAAGCTGATTCTGATTCAGCTTCTGCTTTAAAAAAGAAGCAGAAGCAAAATCAGTTCCAAACACTCTTAAATTCATATATAATGAAAGCTCATTTAGTGAGCGTGTTTTTTCGGCTAATCAGTCATTTTTTCCAACAAATACAAAACTTTTGATTTAGTGTGCTAAATTATGTAATAATATGAAAAAGTAAGGTTGAATTTACTTTTCTGACTGTATTGGCTGAAGTTACTGTATAATATCTTTAACCTATTTTTTCATATAATAAAATATGAAAATATAATTTAAATATAATAAAAATATATTGACATAATATATTTTAAATATAATTTTTACATGAATTGGCAGAATCAGTCAATTCAGTCACTTCAACAAGAACTTCATAAGTTTCAATAGAATTAGTCGATTTTAGTATTACCAAACGAACTCTAAATCATATTTTTCCTTGTTATTTTACTTTCCATATTAATATGAAATTGATACGAATTCTAGTAAATGATGCTCTCTTCAATCCATCCATACTTCTCGCACCTAAAATCGTAGAATAGAATTGGGAGGCTCCATAAATGGTAGGAACTTCTTTGCGGGAGGGAGGTAGTATTTTTTAAATAGAATCTAAATAGAATTGTAGAATTCGAAATGATCTTTCCAATCAGATATTACCTCCGTATAAAAAAGATCTTGTTAAGATCTGAGGTTCCATCCTAAAAGATCAACCTGATAGGAGGAGTAACACATGTCTTAATATAGCACTTCGTTGACTCAAACATTTCCGATGTGGGATTTAACACCCCTCCTCACGACCAGACTCTTTGTCTGGATCGTGCCGTCATTCATTTTTTCGTCAATTCGTCATTGTCATTTTTTTTATAATCGTGTCAATCATTTTTCATAAGAGGGCTCACACCATGGATCGATTTGGCTCTGACACCATGTTAAGATCTGAGTTTTCATCCAAAAAGGTCAATCTGATATGAGGAGTAGCTCATGTCTTAATATAGCACTTCGTTGACTCAAACATTTCCGGTGTGGAATTTAACAGATCTCCTCACTTTCACTTTTCAACAACTGTTATCCAATCTTTTAATTTCTAAATCTTCCAATAACACCTTCAATAATTTTGGAGATAATATAATATTACATTTTTTTTTATATTTATTCTTCATTCCACTACACTATTCACATCATATCCTCAATAATTTTTACTATCAAAAAGTTCTTGCAACGAAAATGGGCAGAGTAAAATCCAATAAAAAAGTCACATGTATCTGAATCACACCAATTAGCTTCTCTGTTGACGCAATACCATACATTCACGGGTGCGAAGGCAATGGCTGCAGCCTGCAAGTTGTTATTTGGCAACAAGCCAAAGTTAAATATGCGGCCTGTCACGGGTTGCAATACGTTAGGATGATGAAACACAACAAAAAATCCAATGTGTCATTTATGGTTTACCAAAAAAAGCAAATATGTCACTACTTACCATATACTTACCAAAAAAATCCAATGGAGTACTTGGCTAAAACCATTTAAAAATGAATGAGAGGATGTTAAAATGAAATTTAAAGCGAGTTTCTTCAATTCATGACCTAAAAGATAGAAAACTATCAATCTAACATCTAACGTCATAGGTTTTGATTTATTTAATTTTTTAGTAATTCAATTGTTATTTTTTAATAAACTTTTTCTTCACAAAAGGTTATTAGTTTAATAAAACTAAATAATATTTAAATTTTTAAAATAAAAATAATAATAAAATTCATGACAATTTAGATCATATATTGATAATTTTCAATCATTCAGATCCTATATCGATACATTTCATCTTCCAGATCTCAGATTGATAACTCGACTGTCTTTTAGGTCATTAATCGATAAAATTCCAATTTAAAAAAAGAAAGGTCATTAAAGATAGAATGTCAAAGCTTGCCTTCTATTCCAATTCAAAGTGTTATTTAAAGTAAAATTTGGTCAAGTAAAGAGACATGCGGCTGAGCTAAACTAGGAAGGAGATAAACAACATTGAATGGAATAGTTATGGAGAATAATATATTTTTTTGGAAGATTTCGACTTATATTGATAACAGATAATTTAGACTATGAGTCAAATGACAAAAAGAAATATCACAACCGCTATCCCGTGAACCAGACTCAGAATTAATCGTCTCCAAAGAAGCAATTTCTACACTCTGCCTATGTCGGTCAAACCAACAGAACTTCTTCACACTTAGACGATTTCTACACTCTGCCTATGCCGGTCAAAACTAACGGGATATTTCCTGGCCTAACGGCTAGAAGCCTCCCAACGGAAGAAGCTAGTATTCACGCATTTAATGCTCAATTAATGCGGTTCACACGTTGAGATATTTAAAGCTGATGATTGACCTGAAAATATCTTCTCGCCCCAAAAATAGCAAGCCGGCTACCCCTTTGAGAACCAACCGGTCACATCAACAGTACAAGCATTTAATGAAGTTGTCTTCTACACTCCAACGGGAAGACGGTTCCCAGTATATAAGATACACTTCGAAGGACTGGAACCCTAAGGAACTAATAACATTTCAACTCTCTCTAAGTACAAAGATTCATACACTCAAAGACTACAACCTACATTCTTCAAAGAGCAACAAAACTTTACGTTGGAAAAGATTATAAACTCCATATCTTTTCTTTCCAATGTGAGAGAATCATTCCTCTAGTTCTTCAACACTTCAAAAGCCTCAACTACATATCCATTCTAACGAAGCAACGTTGGAGAAACTGTTTTCACCTAAACACTTCTTGCAAAAGAAGGGGCGTCTCAAACTAGCTGGAGTAGTGAAGTGGAGATACTTCAAGAAACTCAGTGAAACGAGACCAGCCATCAGGAAGCAAGGACTGCATCCCGGGTGGCAACTAGGCTTGAAGAAGACGAGGAGAGCTTCTTAAGTGCTAGGACTAAGGCGTTGTAACTGTCGTTTTACAAGCTTAGAGGAACAGTGGACTAGAGGAACATGTCGTTCCTTAAACCACTATAAAAATCCCTAGTGTCATTTACTTTACACACTTTACTTTATCGCATTAAGATTCTAACTGTTTAACTCTAAAGGAAAGGACTCTGTGCTCACCAAATCTCCCTTGTGAGTTAACAGAAAGTCATTTGCCTTAGTATTTTTCTGAGGTTACCCGAACAGAGAACCTATCCGCTGCCAAGACCAGTTTTGTCACCAGAACTCGACCTTCTCTGTCAAGTCTGCTAAGACTTAGAGAAAAGTTTTAAAAGACCAGAACAGTCTATTCACCCCCCTCTAGACTGTTCCTTGTGTGAACGGGACCAACAAGTGGTATCAGAGTCTTCTTGTTCTTGTAATCTTTTATGGATAACACACTTTCTAAGAATATAATGTTTTCAGTTACTAAGTTTGATGACTGAAAGATCCGATTGAAAGCCCACCTCTGAGCACTCCATGATGAGATGTGGGAAGTCCTAGATGCTGGCCCTTTCACTGAGTTTAAAAAGGTGAACCCAGAGTACATTGCTGGTGGTGATCAACAACAGCTGATTACCAAACCCCGTCATGAGTGGTCAATTGAAGAAAGGAGAAAGTACAACCTTGATAACATTGTGAAAGACATCATTTACAATGCCATTGATGACAAATACTTCACCATAATCAAGAAGTGCACATTTGCTAAGGAAATCTAGGATGCACTCACCCTGATTGGAGCTGGTGATGAGCAAGAGAAGCATAACAAGCTCACCATAGCCATGAAGAAGTTTGAAGACTTCAAACTTCTCCCCAAAGAGTGCATAGCTGAGATGTATGCATGTCTGCTCACCCTTACTGCTGAAATCTTAGAACTTGGGAACGAACTGACTCCCAAGGAGATCAACCTGAAGGTCACTACCATGAGAGACAGTAAGGACCTCGAAACCTACACCACAGAAAAGCTCATCTTTGATCTCAAGTCTTATGAGTTCGAGTTTAATGAAGAATAGAAAGAAGAACCTGAGGACAGAACAACCATTGCCCTCACCGCCAGTACTTCTAAGGTTAATAATTTTGACCCTTCCATACTTTTTACTGACGAATATATGGCTGAATTTGCCAAGAAATTCAAAAGGTTCATGAAGCCCAAGGATGGCAGAAGTCCATCCTCCAGCAGAAAGTCATTCCAGAAGACCAAGTCTTCAGATAGCAGTGGAGAGCTTCTCTGCTACAATTGCAGGCAACCTGGTCACTTCAAGGCCAACTGTCCACACCCTATAGTGTCCAAGAGGCAAGGACATGAAGGAGAAAAGAAGTACGAGCACCGGAGAAGGAAAGCTCTCATCTCAGAGCAACCTGATAACTTCTTTTAACATCACAAGATTGCGTTCAAATTGCCATGGACCCTCCTCAAGAACACGCATCATATCAAAACGATGAAAAAAGTAAACCGATACCTTTTTTCCCGATCTCCTTGACCGCCATACCCTTCCCTGGCCTCCACAATGATATCATCATCTCTTTAAAATCTGAATATTTAACCTTCATATCGGTTAATATCTGGCCGATCACCGGGAACTCTTTAGGGCTTGTCTTCGCTGGAACTTCCTCAGCATCAAGATCATCAAGATTAAGCTCCTCCGAATCTGTACCGATCGACATCTGCTTGTATCTATCAACAAAAGCTTCCATGTGCTCCTACTCCACCGCACT